GGTTTAGGGTGTGGGACTCCCCTCAACCCTGAACCTCAACCCCTGTAAAAACCTGCCGCGGAACCCTCCAACCCTATTCTAAACTCCAGGTAACCCAGGTACTACACATGCACCGAAAGACGCATAAGGGTGTGGGGGTTAGGCGTTCAAGAACTAGGCATGACTAGCAATTAGCGCGTTGCGTTTAGGGTGTAGAGCTTATATATCTGTTGAGACGCACAGTTGCTGGTTTGGGATTGTCGGCGACACTTCGCCGAAGAACCTAGTTCCTAAACCCTAAACCCTAAATCCTAAACCCTAAACTAAACCCTAAACCCTAATTATAAACTGTCTTTGCTCTAGGTTTTTGCTAAGCGCTCAGATCGGAGTTGGGGTTTAGGGCCCAAAACCAGGACAGGCGTTACAAACAGGAGCCTCCCCCCCTGTTTGGGATTTAGGGAAAAGAGGGCTTGGGCGGGAAACTTGATACTTAAGTATAACTGCATTAAGATTTCTGGGACACCGACATTACTATTTATTCATGCCCCTAAAGTGGCACCCCTCAATGTCATGCAAGGCGCTTGACCTGCGCAATCCGCGCCTGCAAAGGGATCCGGCTGGGTGAGGGCACAATCGAAGCATCTTCGGATCATGGGGTGGCGCTGACTTCCATACCCCGAAGCCTAAACCCTAAACCATTAGCTACCGAGGACGGCCCTTGCCACAACTCCAGATCATGGGCTCCGTGATGCTTGCCAGGAACAAGGGGGCCTGAAAAAATTGCAATAGGGTTTAGGGTTTAGGGATTGGGGTGGGATACATTACACTATAAGCATAAGTGTGTACGGACTATTGAAGGACCCGAGCACTGACTATTCGAGCACCGTATACTTTGTTTACGAAGACACCCTGCAGACTGCAAACCTAGCGCCACGCTCATTCATCAAAAAGTCCTGCCTAGGCTCCTGACGGTTCAGGGTTTGGGGTTTAGAAACTATAATGGATACGGATATGAATAGTTTTCTACATTAGGGTCCCTTCGGGGGTCCTTTTCATAAGGGTGCCGTACTATATTGAGGCCCAAAAACGGGACTCCAATTTAGAGATCTACTCAAAGGGTGCTTCTGGTGAAAATGGACACCTTGGTACATTCAAGAGCCACTAAACCCTAAACCCCAAACCCTAAACCCTAAACCCCTTAAACCCCAAACCCCCCTAAACCCTAAACCCTAAACCCCTGAACCCTAAACCCTTAAACCCTAAACCCTAAACCCCTGAACCCTAAACCCCTAAACCCTAAACCCTACACCCCAAACCCAAGGCCAAGAGGAGGTAACGCAAAGGGGTTTGGTCCAGGTCGTTGAGACTATGCAGGTGTTGAGTATGCGGGGCTTCTGGGGTTTAGGGTTTGGGGTTTAGGGTTTAGGGTTTAGGGTTTAGGACTTAGAGTTTGGGGTTTAGGTTTTAGGTTAGGGTTGAGGGTTTAGGGTTGAGGGTTTGGGGTTTAGGGTTTAGGCTTTAGGGCCTAGGATTTAGGGTTTAGGGTTTCGGGTTTGAGGGTTTAGGGTTTACGCTAGTTTTGGGATGGGCTCGGCCGGCCTTGAAAGCCTCAAAGCGGCATCAGGGGTGCCCCGTTCAAAGCGCGGGACCCATGAACGGCGCTAAGCCCTCAAAATCTCCAACCCAAAAAACGGAGGGTTTAGGGTTTAGGGTTGAGGGTTTAGGGACTTCTAAAACAGTGAGAAGGCACCTAGGTGCAGCCGCGATACTTGTAGATGCAATCTAAGTCACCCAGAAGAACATTCGAAATCGTTAGTCCAAGTTTGACCATTGCACGCTCACCACTACCCATGCATTAAGTATGCCCACAACTCGAAAACCTAACCACTCGCCCTAAACCCTAAGCCCTAAGCTCCTAAACCCTCGACCAGCTACCACTGTAGCTACGACTGCTACTGCTACTGCCACTGCCCCAAGGCCACTGCCCCTGCTACTGTAACGCGCAGCAAGGGTAGCCAGAATAGCAATAATCATAATTGTAATAATTGCACTAACGCCCTAAACCCCAAACCCCAAACCCTAAACCCTAAACCCCTGAACCCTTAACAATAACAATAACGATAATACTAATTGACAACCTCCCAGCTCGGGTCATGAAATGGCCTGAAGAGCAGCGGTACGATCTGCCATGGCGCGCCAGGGGTTCAGCTCGTTTGAGTGGAAGGGTCGCTTTTTGTCACTGAATTTGGGGTTTAATGGTTTAGCATTTCGGGGCTCAGAAACCCCAAACCCACAGCCAAAGCCCTTTGATTTGAGGTTTCAGGTTTCCGGATTCCGATGAGGTCTCGACAGAGTTTCCAGCAACTACGTGCTTAGACGCAGGATGCTCTGCTTGCAAGGTCTTTGATATGCTGCAGCCTGATAAGATGCATGGGTTCCTGTGCTGAGAGGCTTAGGGATTATAGTTGCTAAGTTGAGGCCGTTCATGTTCAGCCGTTTTGAGCCTCTGCAAAGACCACCGCGTAGTCTGACATATGGACCGCAACACCAAACTCCATGTGAGGGCCCCCATGAAGCACCATGCTGGGATTCGGCCCACCAGCAACCAAACCCCCCCCCCAATGGTTGTTGAGGGACCTCTTGAACAAAAATATGACTTCAGCAGTCTTGGGCACTTTCGCCAGTTAGGGTTTAGGGTTTAAGGGAGCCACCAAAAGATTCAGCCAAGCCCCGGAAGTCGAGCCTTCCAAGCGCACCAAGGGCTAGACTTGGCCAATGCTTCTTGAATCATTCGGATCAACGAGGTTTAGAGTTTAGGGTTTGGGGCTTAGGGTACTTAACGGTTTTAGGGTTTAGGGCTTTAGGGTTTTAGGGTTTTAGGGTTTAGGGCTTAGGGCTTTAGGGTTTTAGGGTTTAGGGTTTTGGGAAAAGGCTGAAGAGCTAACGAATGGGGCGGGAGGAATCTTGGCGGTAGCCACGGGAATTGCCGCACCACGAAACGTGCGGAGAAGAGTTCTGTCCCCCAACAGAAACGCCAGCGATGTCTGCTCGTTTTCGATGAGTGATGACAAGCACGATACATCAAGCCCACAAGCTGTTTTTGCAAGACAAAGACCTCTGTCAGCATTACCCAACGGCCAGAGGCCAATGTACTGAGGTAGTTGATTGCGTGCAGAGAATAACTCAGCTGCCAAGAACCAAAGATGTTCTTGGAGTATCTGCAGCAAGTTGAACCAGCATGAACAACCTGCTACGCACTTCACCGGCCTTCGAATCAAAGGATGTGTCATCGCGGCATGCCAGGGTCAAGGGGTTGGAGCGAAGGGTTCAAGGTTTTAGCGTGTAGGGATTTGGAAGCTGGTAGCGCGTAGGATTCAGGGGTCGAAGTTCACACTTGGGGTCAGGTCTAGACCATAGCAACCTTCGCGCACAGCTTTGCGATAAACCTCATCAACAGGTTGCCCAGTTCTCGGCTCCCAAAAAGCTGTTTCATACCAGAGCCTTGACCACTCTATGCCAGATCATAAACTCTGCATCCTGAATGTGAAGCCGAACGAAACCCAAGCGACTGTGAGCACAGGAATTTTCGTACCAAGCCCTCGAACCGCTCGCCCAGCAGCCCCAGGCTGTTTCCGGTGCCTGGGGCAAGCTCTAAGCCCCGAACCGCACTAGGGTTTAGGGTTTAGGGTTTAGGGGTTTCGGTTTTAGGGTTTAAGGGTTAAGGGTTAAGGGTTTAGGGTTTAGGGTTTAGGGTTTAAGGGTTTAGGGTCTAGGGTTTAGAGTTTAGAAGGGTAAACCCTAAACCATGATGGGGGCCAGGCTGAACTTCAAAGCTTTGTCAAGCTTCCGTTCTGGGGACCGGCTTTAGGTCCGGACTTGTACTTGTCAGGTTCGAGTGCGCTTTTCTGCACAGCTGCGGTCAACAAACTCCAGGTCCGGAGCATGGAGAATAATGCACGCACAATCTTCATACCCCAATGCCCCGTCCATCCTGCACTTCTGCTGTTTCCGTGCCTCTTCACATCGCTGGCGCCAGACATGCTCAGGAGTTCGGAAGGAACTTCGGAGAATGTTGCAGGCATGCTCGAACAGACGCGAGGCACCGGGGGTGGGTTAGGGCTCGGGTGCTTAAAATATGCTCCCCAGTTTCGGCTTTAAGTCCAGTCCTCATTGGCTTTAGAACTCAGGGGTTTCAGGATTGAACGGCTTCTGAGTTCAGGGGGCCAGTACTTGAGTCAGGGCCTCCAAATCACGATGCCATCGTCAAGTTCATGCTTTACTTCCTCTGGCACTCTCATGGGGAGCTTCTTCCAGTCCACGACTTTGAGCGGCCACTAACAGACACAGTTACACACGAAACACCCACCAGCGCTCCTGAACCTTCAGCCTCAAAGCACTTGCACGATGCCTCAACAGTCACACAACAGACACCAGAATGCAGACTGGCAAAGTATCAGAGAATACATTTGCTCATTATTTCTCAGACATAACATATCTTGTACTTATACCCTAAACCCTAAACCCTAAACCGTTTATTTACACATTAGATATCAGCTATACGGCACCTGGCAGCTTCCCCCGCCCCCCAAACGTTCCAAATGAACTGCTCCGACCGCCGCAAACTCTTCGGGGCATCATGCACTTAGGGTTTAGGGTTTAGGGTTTCGGGGTTTAGGTCTTGTTCTGTGATGGGAAGAACACGGCAGAATCAGGCATGATGGCCATGGACATGCAGCATCCACCGGACCCCCACCCCGGTTTGAGCCATCGAAGGAACGTGAGCTCTTGCGTTGATGCCGTCTGCCCTCAAACTTTGAGCTCCGAACTGGGGCGATGACCAGTTTAGGGTGCATGGTCGTACCTCTTTGTTCTGCAAGCGCTGTCAACTTGCATCGTGCTTTGCTGCACGATTTCTGCATAACATGAATGGCTGCAACGCAGCTGGATAAAATCGCTAAGTTCATCCACGAATTCGTGGCTTCAGGTGAAGCGAACATGCATCCCTCGAGCCAACCTGCGGCCTACGAAATTTGGCATCCTGATGCTGCTGCTGCCAGAACACCGACCGCTCCAACGAAGCCAAGAAGCCCATCCGACCCACCCTCAGACGTCGCGCCTCCCTGGAAGCGGGTTGCGGCCCACACCTGCACCACCGCACTTGGGCTCTACGAAACACTGGATGAAAAATCAAAGCCATGTCAAGCAGATGATCTGAAGAACACTCACGACATGTTGAACATCACAAATGAACTAGGAGCCACTACCGTCACCATCACGACCGTCGCTCCATCATTATCCTTCGTCATCATCAGCCTAACTTCCTAACCCTCAGGATAGCCGCTAGCATCAGCATCATCACCCGCACCACCGTCATCAGCATTGCAGCATTCCCTTTCACAAGCACCATCGTTGTCATCATCATCGCTCACATCGTCGTAAGAATCATTGTCATCATCATGGAAAACCGAAATTGCCATCATTGCCGTCAGCAGTATCGTCGTCATCAGCACAGCTCGGTATCCTTACAATCGCACTCGTAATGACTACAACACCTCTCACGTCACCACCATCATCATCATCGTCACTAACGTCATCAAAATCATCATCATTGTTCTCGTCACCGTCCTGAACATACCGACACCCTAAGAATGCCCGGAAGCAAAATGTAGCAGTCAGATCTGGCCGGAACCACAACAGTATAAGTTCCCACTTGTGCTGCTTCGCAACAGGCCGATCAGGAGGGCTGGGCCTGTTGCTGCTGCTTCGCCTCTTCCAGACGGCGCTCCATGTCCGCCATCTTCCTGTACAAACGGTTTAGGGTTTAGGGCTTGCACCATGCGAACGCCGACATGATTAAAGAGGGGGCTTCCGGTGGGGAATCACGTTGCCTTCACCTCAAATGTGGGCGTCATGTCGGCTTTGTTGCCGACAGCAGATATATGGGTCTGCCGTTTTATACAACATTGCGAGCTCATCCAAGTCTCAACTTGTGCGAAGCAGATGCTTACGGCTAGAACATATCAGAACTAGGTAGCTTCCTCACCCTCAGAAGGCCACGTGCAAAGCTGACAATGAAGTCGAATGTTTTGCACAGCACCCTCAAGACAAACCTCTAAAGCCAACTAAACTGACAAGGCATAAACTCTCCGCCCTAAACTGCAGACCTGAAAAACCCACAGCACTGTTAAAACGAGCCCCAAATAGCTGGCCGAGGTCTCTGAAGGTCCTGCTTGCAACCGGGGCGCCATTCGTAGTCCGCTCGCAGACTCTCGGCAGCATCGGATCCAGCCTGGATGGCAGCCTCCTTCTCCTGCGTGTAAGTCAGTCTTTACCACACTTTCCACTGAGATTGCAGGGAGCACTAGTGACCAGAGACACTGCTCTACGCACAAACAATTTCATCAAGTCTTCTCCTTTTCCAGTCGCACCTTCATGGCAGCCCACCACTGCTCCCACTCGTGCTTAGCTTTCGTTTCTGGGTCGACGGCCTGCATGATGCTCTTCAAACGCCTCCCAGCTTCCGTGAAGTGCTCGTTGGTGTACGTGCGGAAGTGGTGTTCCTTCGTCAGGCGTATCACCTCTGCCCTCAGAGCCTCCCCGCTGCGCTGGCATTGCCCGGGTGAGCTGATGTCGATCGGAACGACTCGGTTCTCCACGGCTTTCACAAGCTCTGCGAGCTTCTTGGGACCGCTTTGCGCTTTTTCGACCCACTGTTCCTTGCTCATCTTCTGACCGTTCTTGATGGTGAGAATCATGTGCTTATAGACCTGGCAGCAGCATCAACCACAGGGTGGATGCATGCAGGTCAAATCTTTGATTCAATGCATTAATACTTTCCCACACCCGAGTTGCCTCGAAGCCAGCGGTCTTCTCGATGACAGCCAACGTCAGCTCAGATTCCTTCGTGAACCTGCCGTCGTCCAGCTGCAGCAGAACGACATGGTAGCCTTCCGGGCGAAGGAAGGCAACATTTGTCAGCTCTTTGAGCGTGTCGTTGAGAGACACCCCTGTATCGTAAAGTCCTGGAGTGTCGCAAGCGTTGAACCGATATCCATCTCGCTCAAAGGACTTGACAGCCGATGTTGCTGTCTGGCTATCGAAGCCATGTCCTACCTGAAAGATGTCCCGATCTGCCAAGACATTCAGTGATTGCGACTTGCCATGCCCGGTACGGCCGACACTCAATACATTTATGACTTCGTTCGCCATGGCCATCACACCCCGAAGGATGAAGAGCACGGGCCTAAACCAAGACTTGGCCGCCGCCATGGTGCCGAAAGCTCTCCGTGCGCACAGCCAAGCCGGCAGGGAGACGTCAAACAGCACAAGTGGCAGGCTTCGATTTGGGCCCTGTTGCGCACCGATGCAACATGCCAAGACTAGCATGTGCGATGCCTGGCTGCGAAGGCACTCCGAACGGCACAATATATAATGCACACACACACACACATCACGCTGCACTATCAAGTTAGCTCTGATTTTGCGGTTCTGCGGAACAGATTCCATGCACGGTGGCAGGCAAGCTGCGGTGTGGGGAACGCGGGTCTGCTGTACAAGAGATGTCAAACTCATGAATTCGTGGCCCAGACATAGGCAAGGCATGCACTGCAGCTATTCACTGGCAGCATCACTACTTTGTGTAGAAGTGTTTCACCTCAACACCTGTAACTTGGCCTCGTACTGATCTGTGCCTGTTCGCCAAATCTCGTCTACCCTCACCTTTGTCCTGCCGCTGCCTGTGCCGTAGTCTTCCACAGTACAGACCTTGCCAACCGACTGCAGCACATTTCCATCACCAAGCTCCCGCAAGACAGCGAGGGAGTCAGGACGTGCGATGTTGAAGATTGGTATTATCTCCCCCGGCCGTCCGCTCCAGTGCCAAATCCGCCACACCAGCTGTTCCTTGCGCCGCCTTTCGCTCTCTTGCAGCTGTGCCCTGACGATTTCCACCTTCTCTTGCTCCCGGCGAATCTGCTCTTGCATCATGGCTTCTTGCTGGCGGGCTTTCTTCTCCGCTGCGACTGCTGGGTCCAGACCTTCCAAGATCTCTTCCAAACGTGAGGAAGCCGTCTCCAAGTACCTCTGCACTGCACAATCTGCAATAAAAAAATTCTGCTCACCCGTAGCAAGATGAAATATTATTGCGCGCATGTCTATCATCAATCATAAACAAGAGTTCCAAGCAAGACTCACAGCTTAGAAACCAAGCCGCCAACCTCACATGCTGATGTGATTTCCGACCCAAAAATCCTCAAGCACTCAACCAGAAACCCGACAACAGAAAGTCAAAGCGAGCCGGAGGTCAGTTCCCTTGCAGATCTCTGGACGTACCGCAGAAGCATAGAATTGTCGGGCCTGTGGTATACAGGCATGGACTGGGCCCTGCAGCAGAGTGACAGGATTTTGACAATGTCCGAAACAAAGGGCTCGAGTTCTGCTCATATTCTGATAACCTTTCTTTCTTGTTTCGTGATTTCTACGGCTCAGAGCTCGGATGTAAGTGCAATCCGAGCCACGCATTCGTGTACGGGCGTCCACCGTTTGCGCGCACCAAGCGGGAGATAGCATTGTGAACTGCTCTGGCGCTTTCTTCACGGGTACTTTCATTGTATATGTTGATGCTCACAATGAAATCCCGCCGAAGCTCCAGCAGAGATTCAAGCTTGTGCTGGCCACTACACTTGGCTGCCGCCCACACCCTTTCCAAAGGCCAGTCGTATCCCTGGCTCAGTGCCAATAGCAGGTGAGACTTGACTTTCTGCATGCCACCTAAGAGTGCCAATATCCCGTCAACAGCCGCTCGCTCCTCGTTTGTGAACCTGCTCTGCGGGCAGAGCATGAGCAATATGACGTGGCAGCCTGCCTTTGCAAACATGGGCACTTTGGAGAGATCCTTGATCACATCCGCATGGCTGACGGTAGTGTCAAAAAGGCCAGGGGTGTCTACATACGTGTAACGAACACCAAAGTGCTCCCAAGTAGCAGCTTGCACGGTGTCTGTCACCGATGAGAAACTATCTGAGGCCTGAAACACGCCCTCCTGAGAAGAATTGCTTCGTAAGACATTGCCTGTCGTACTCTTGCCACTCCCAGTGCGCCCGAAGGCGCAAACATTCCAAACAGGGGCGTCGCAGGCTTCTACGGCGCCGACCCTGGGAACGGTGCTGAGGATCACGAAGAAAGAACTGACCAGCTGCATGGGCCACTGCCTTGTGATAAGCTCAATTCGGCGGATTGCTTGAGCACGAATGCTGGAGACCCGTCGTCTGGGAAGCCCCTCACTGCCAAAGGACATGTTGGCATGAGCATCATCCAAACAGCGTCGGCCACAAGACATGACAACAACAACAACAAAAACAACACTTCTTCAGATTAGCGCCATGAACATCAATGTCCTCATCTTCATTGTGACCATCATGATGACCGTCATCATCGTCAGCATCATCCGCATCATCATCATCATCATAACCATCATGGGTCGCTAACCTTGATTTCGCGACTGTGCGGGACCAGTTTCATGCACGGTGGTAGACAATGCCCTAGTCCAACCTTCTCAGAGGAGTTGACAATAAATAGTCTCGCTTGAAGAGGCCCAGGTTGTGTATCTTGCATTGCTACGTGCACCTCATGCCCAGTGGCTTGGCAGCATCAAGCCCTCACACCCTGCAAGTATTCGACTTGGAACTAAACTGCGTGCGGGACAACTTGCTCGCGAGCCTGCGGCAACGCATGGTCACAGGGCTCATGTGGCCGGAAATCTGTTAATAGTATAAATCAGCCGTGCTGCGGCATCAAAGTATTGGTTGGAAGACTTGTTCCAAAACGCGCTACTTGTCCCAGGACCGACAGTTGTCAAGTCCCAGCCCTGTAGCTGCAGCATCAAACTGTAGTGCTGTGTTTGTACATGCGGCTGAGTGGAAATGGCCAAGATGCTGCCTCTGAACGGTTCTGTCTCCAACCATGTCAGAACCGTGTCCTTTAGTGCCGGCGCTCTGTTCGTTTCACCAATTGGGCGTCCCCTAACGAGGGTGCAAGGCAGCGCACGCAGAGCTGGCGTCAGCTCCATGTTCTCCCAAAGTAGCTGCATCATGCATGCCTCGTCGGTGCAATTGAGCATGTAGGATGGCTGCGAAATGTTGCGCCGGCATTTCTTGGATTCACCACAGACAGACTGAAAGCCTTCTACAGTTTCGCTGTCGTGAGTCAAGGCTCGTGTGCTTCCCATCATGACGACGCTCTCGAACGACCAGTTGCCCAAACTGAGGTCCACCAGAAATTCGATGCGTCTTTTCACAGCGGCAAGCGTGGCGCCTAGAATCAGGACGTGCTTATATGGCTCGGCACGGATGGAAGGCAAGATCGGATCCATGAAACCAAGCTTTCGAAAATAGTGCTCGGAGCTTTCCATCGTTCCTCGCGGTGCCAGCTGTGCCGTCCACTCCCACCTCTGTAGCCCTTTCGGTCTGAGCCATTTCTCCTGGGTCGCGGTCATGAGCGCCTTTGCATCGACGGCATGAACTCCGAAGTCTTGCAGGAGAAAGTCGGCAGATACATCCAGAATTCTGGCTTTTTGTGGCAGCAGATTGAAGCAGATGCCGGAACCAAATTGTTTGGGACAGCCTTCGAGAGGACTCTCTCGATCCCATATGCGCCAGACGAAAACAAAGCACACGCAGAAAAGTGCCATCCGGCGGCACACGTGTCCTGGACTCAAAACCTCGTCCGAATCGAGGATCTTGGACACCGGCGTCGGGTCGGGCAGCATCCCCAACCCCTCCGCTCCCTCCACCTGCATCTGCAGAAACGCTTCTTGAAGTGAAGACCTTTGAGTCCCTCCTTTTTGCTTGAGGTGCCTGTAGAAATCCTTCGCAAACTGTGCAGCATCACTGTCGTACACAGCCATCTTGTGGAAGATGATGCATGAAAAACGCCGTTCATCCCACAATGTTTTGCCTTCGCGTTCTGACTCGCAGAAACTCATGAAGATGCTTGGCATATTGTCGGACTGCGGCTGCAAGGAGCTGAAGACTCCGTAAAAGGCTTCCGGGCTGACATTCCCGTCGTCAGAGACTTGCAACTGCTCATCGGCTTGATGTCCTATGACGTGGATAATGTCGAAGTTAAGCTCCATTACGAGCATCTCCGCGTGGTGCAAGTGGTGTGCAATCTGACAGTTGCTGCGCCCCATGCAAGACTGGATGGCATCAATCTCAGGTTCTATCTCCGGAAAACCTGGCAACTGAGATGGAGAAATCACAAGCACTCTGGGCTCATGTATGCCCAAACGCAGGGATATGTCTCGACTGATTGTCGAGAGTTCGTTCTGGAGCAACTCGCATCCCTGGAGCATTGCCAAGATCCGTCCCCAGGTCAGCATCGACCGAAACTTGAATCTGCCACGGATGTTGCCAGCGTGTTCGAAGTGGTTGATGACCTCCTCCAACTCCCTGTGCAACTCTGCTTTCGTTTCAGCGGTCCAGTTGCATTGCCTCAGGCAAGGCCCCACGTCACGCTAAGCAGGCATATATCATGTGACAGTACTTCGGGAAGCCTTTTTTTGTCTGAGAACTCAGCAGAGCTGTACTGCACAGGTAATCAGGATCTACGACACACCCTAGCCAATCGATACCAGGAACTTTCACCGCCATGCAGTCCTATGACCAGCTTGCAACGTCTACACTGCCAGCCCAGTACTTCGTGAAGCCAAGATGCAAAGACGCCTCTGGAAGCTTGTTCACTACCGACCTCAGCTGCTCCACAATGGCCCCGACTGCATCTGTTGATGCGGCCGGCACTTGTTGGTCCAATGAGATCGGAACTCCCCGCCGCCCACAACGCTTGCAGTCGGGCCAGTTCACCTTCATCCATTCCCTTTGCAAACGACAGTGAAGCAAGCTTGCTTTGTCCTGGTCATGCAAACAATTGAAAGCAGCCTCCGCAACTTCTTTGGAAGCGAAAACGACGAAGGCCGCGATTTTCGACTCTCTTGTTGTGGCTTGCTTCTTCCCATTTCGCTTGGAAATGGAGGGCGGGATCGTAGTGCTTCGTGGTTGTAACCCCAAGTCTTGCAACCACTCGTGCAGCTGCTTCTCATCCGGATTGTCGCCGCTTGCAGGGTACTCGATCTTGAGGGTAGCACAGCAGGGTATGGGTACATGACCCGACGCAGACATTCGTGAATGCGTACGCACTGAGAAAGCTGCAAGGACCACGAAACTGGGAGCTACTTACAACGAACAACCAATGCAACACATGCGCAAGACTGCCACCGGCTACTGCCTGCAGAACTCTCACTTCATGTTAACTGCAGCTGCAAATGCTACGAGGATGTCGGACCATCATGCGAAGCAGACAATCTTCAATGGATTGGGGTCTTGAAGTTGTATCTCTTCCGGCTGGGTGCATATACGGGAACTGAACTCTTTTCGAAAGTTTCAACCACTGCCCCCAAAACACACAGTTGCTGTTCATGGCCCTGGCACCCCCTGACAACAGGTTGCCTGTACCGCGTGGTTATTTGGCTTCTGATCCACACGAAATTTCGCTATAACCTGGACCGCTGAAGTGGCATATTTGGCTGCTGACACGAACACCGAAAATACTTTTGTCTGAACACGCCAATCAATACATAAAATACTCTTTGTTGAATATTCACAAGGAGACACCCAAGACGAATTTTGACGTTGTCGACACCTATATGTCACTCACATCTGTCACATCGAAAGGGGGAACCCTTTCAACTCAAGTACTAACAATTTGTAATTGTATTCGTACCTGATGTATTTCCAGAAATGCCTCGGCTGTTTGCAAGATTGCATGTCGAGCCAACAACAAAGCCGATTGTGGCATGCATGTTGCACCCGACATCCAGGCTGCAGACATTGGGATGTTCTCCCGAACACGGGCCATCAATGCAACGCTAGCGCTACATTCTGAAGATGATGCCGATCAAAAAACAGTCAGTGGATTTGTAAAATACTTCGAATGTCCCAGAATCGTATAAGCATTTCCGGCTCTTCCGCCGAATAGCATTGGCGCCGTTCTTTCCGCCAGGAGTTCGAGAGGGCGTGTAGTTACAGTGTAGTTAATCTAGCCAGAATATAGCCAGGTTGTATTTGGTTGGGGGGAGTCAGGGGCATGAAACAAGAGAGGAAGGTGAAACACAAACGGATAGAAAGGGTCCTCTACATCAGCGTGCTGCGCAGTGATTACAAACTCCATGTTCTAGATAGGCTCGCACTGCTCTAGCACTTCCGAAGCATTCCATCTTATTTATCCAAATCGAATGTGCGCGAGGCGGGGACCACCCGTGC